TAGTTGGCTCAAGAGCACTTCTCTCACTCCACCAATGGACCTGCCTCTGCCTTTCCTGAAATTCCTCTGCACGATGAGTCAAGAACTGACTGGGGCAAGGTGAGGTCCTCTTTAGGGCAACCTCCTTCGACCTCATCCGACAACTACGGCAGAGCCTGCAGAAGGTCCTGGGAACCCTTAACCCACTCCGTAAGCAGGGAGGGAGACAGGCACCAAATACCACCACTCTCACAACCCAGAGGAGGGAGGGAGCCAGGCTTATCTTGGATGAGGAAGTTCCCAGAAGGCAGAGAAGAAGGATCTTGGGCAAGTCAGATAGTGAGAGCTGGGCTGGATCCAGATGGCTCAGTGGGGCCGCTATGCCACACACAAGAGGCTGGCGGCTGACATGAGGAGGACATTTGAGAGTGGCAGGAAGGGAGGATATTCTGTGCCATTTAAAAATACCCCAGCTTCCTGTTGGAGGGTTCTTCAGGTAAATTTGCACAGGTCAGAGAAAGTGTCCCAAGGTGCCAACGCTCAGCATTCCAGATGGAGCAAGGACCTTCAGACAAAGTGATCACTGTGCCTCAGGGAAGGACAGGGCTCAGATGGGAGGTGGGGTGGTTCCTGGGGCAGCCCTCCCAAGGAACCGGGAGTGGCCGACCGGAAATTCCAGATAACCACAGGGCCACCCACATCAGAGCAGGGACAGCTCAGTCAGGGGCGCTGGGGAGGCTATTGAGTTGGAAGTCAAAGGAAGGCCTGAGGTTACAGAGGAGGAGGCCATGTTGATGAAGCCTTGGGTAATAGAGGAAAAGAAGGCCAGGCCTGGTGCTGCCAGGTCTCTACAGACAGAGACTCATGTCCCAGGGGCGTGCCTCAGGACACCCCAAGCCTGGGTGAACCCACACACTCTGTGGCAGCTCCTACCCTCAACACCACAGAGGCCACAGAAGGAAGGCATGGTTGCTCCTGTTGCACAGGAGGAGGAGTGCGGGGGGAGAAGATCCAGAAGAGGATGATGGCCTCAGGCCACCCCTGCAACAGGTCTCCATCACAGCAGACCTCTCCCCCAGCACTAGAGCAAGAACTGACCCTCTGCCCCCGCCCTAACCCCAGTTCTAGCCTGCAGGGGTCAAAGCCTTCCTGGTCAGAAGAAATCAAATGAGGGCTTTTTGACAGTCTAACACAACAAATCAGTGTTGTTTTCATTACATCACTACCCAGTAATGTGATTTAATCATTTATTGAGTGGCCCGGAAGCATCTCTGCTGTTTTGGGAATGGCTAAGGAGTCTTTAGCACCGAAGTTGTCATCCTTCCTAGGGACTAAGGGCCACTTGGCAGGTGGAATAAAAAAGTATTATTACTTCCAGCTCTGGAGCCACGATGCCAGGTATGGTAGTGCATGCCTGTAATTCTAGCACTGCGGAGGCTGAGGCAGGAGGATCACACATTTGAGGCTAGCCTGGGTTACACAGTGAGCTCAAGACCAGCCTTGGCTACACAGAAAGACCTTGTCTCGACAAACAACTTGCATGTATGGCTCTGCCGCTGATAACATCAATGGGAATTTATTTACCTCAGGATCAGTATTTTAAGATTCCAACATACTGAAGGTGATAAGGCAACTGGTCACTCAGGACATAATAAGATTTTCCCCCTACAATGGGTACCTCTCTTTAATCTCCAGTCCACTTCTGGTATATTATGAGTAAAATACTGAAGGAGAATTATTCTATTTGTTTTTACTATAGGAAGTGATCTGTTCCCTAACCCCAACTGTAAAGACTAATCAGGAAAACACTACCTGTAGAGACACAATCTGTCGTGCTCAGTAGTGTTAAAAAGAACAACTGGTCTGAGTCAAAAGAATTGGGAGCAAATCTAGCCTCTGGCACCTGGGTCAATGCTTTATAACTTTGGACCTTATTTTCCTCGTGGAAAGCAGTAATAGTAATAATAATAATAATAATAATAATAATAATACTTCCAGGCATGGCAGTGCACACCTATAACTAGTACTCTGGAGGCTGAAGCAGGAGGATCTCAAGTTGGAGCCCAGCCTGGGTAACTCAGTAATTCAGCAAAATACTGTTTCAAAATAAAACAAACTAAAAAGGACCCAGGATGTAAGTCAACGCAAAGGCCCTGGGTTCAATCCCTAGCACACATGCACACACTGACACCCCCCCACACACATACACAAACAATAGTAAGGGTCTCAGAGGCTGATGTGAACATTAAATGAGATCATGTAAGCACAGGGTCTAGTCCGAACCCAGGACCTACCTGACACTCAAAATGAGATACATCCTAAGCAGCATTATATTCATTGTTGCTGCAAACACTCCTAGGGGAGCAGAACTTGCCTTGACATGGCCAAACGGAAGGATGAACTGCGACCCTGGCCTGCTCCATTAGAAGCAGCATCCGTGCTGGTCCTACAAATGTAACAAACGGCAGGAGAGGTGCCTTCTTCCTCCTCAGTGTCAAGCCTGAGGAGTCTGAAATCTAGAGAGCCACAGCTTGTGTCCAGAAAGCAGGTTCAGCCGGTTTGCCAGCTTGAAGCTGCCACCTGGAACTCACAAGCTGTTGCTTAAGGCACCTGCAGAGCTGGTCATGGAGCCCGGGTCCCCCAAGTCAGGGGAAGGGGGGCTCTGTGGAGGCCCAGGGAGCAGCTTTTTGCCCAGAAAACCAACCCAAACCAGTGCTGACTAACAAAGGGAGGCTCCCTTACATGCACACCTTTCCGGGTAGGACAGCCCAAGGGACTTCAGAGGCTTCTGAAGGCCCAAGGCCTCTGCAGGGGAGAATAGGACGCAGCAGGTGGAGACCAGATGAGGTGGCCCCTGGTCAGCACAGCAGGCATGGGGGAGGGTCAGAGTGGGTCCCCTCTCGAACTAGGAAGAGGCAGGATTGTGTGTGGGAAAACTCTGACTGCACTGAGAAGCGGGGAAAGAGTGTAGAGCAGCAAGGGGAAGCTGAGGCCCAGCATGACCTGAGGTTCCCCCCTCTTCTTGCAGAAGCAAACCAGATAATGCCTCGCAGGCGCTCAGGAGTGTCTCTTCCAGACCACACCAAGAGGACAGCTGTTGCTCTCTGACATAAAGATTGGGAGACGCCCCCACACCGGTTGGCACAATCCTCTGCCCCAGACTGTCACTGCTTCCCTCCCATGCTGGCTGCCATAACCCTTCCCCAGGGCTCCCCAAGATCCAGCACTGCTAGATGATACTCATCACCGCCGGATGCTTCCGGGATCCCCTCTGGTTCATCGGTCAGGCTAGCTGTGAGATCAACCATGAAGAGGGAGCTTAGTGATCAGCGTCGCCTCTAGGGGGTGGAGGCAGGACAGATAGACAGTGGCCTCCAGAGCCAGGCCAGCTGAGTCAGCCACGTGACCTTCGCTGACCTCTAATCCTCTTCCAGAAAATGGGATGTCACTATGCAGTGTCGACTGAGTCACAAATACTGCTGGATCTGTTTAGTGCCCTTAACATTTTTTGTTTTTCCTTGACTTTTTCAGGCCAGTTCTTCCTCATCTTACAGCCCTGCAACGCCCCCTTCCCCACCTCCTCCCCTTCTTATTACCCTGGGGATCCACCACAAGGCGGGAGCAGCTTCCAAGACACAGCTCAGTTGCAACTCTAGGGCTGAGCTGCCGTCTCTAAGCAGAGCAAAAGCAATGGGCAGGGAGAGCTGCCTACAGGGCAAGGCAGGGTGGGGGTGCCAGCCACCCCTTTCCAGGGAGGGCAGCCAAGTCGGCCGGCCATGCGTACCACTCCCAGCCATCCTCTTTCTTTTATTGACTCCAAACTAGGACACCCTTGCAACATAACCAACAAAGCCCCCAAAGCCTGGGGCTGCACACGGAACACTGCGACTTCCAATTCCCTGTTCCCTTTCTGTGTATTAACCAAGTAATACCACAGAGTAACTTGTTAGGAATCAAACCAGGATGTCAAGTACCACAGCCAGTTAAGCCAGAGTAAGAACACAGCATTAACAGCATTGTATGCTTGACAACTCTCCCTCACCCTCTTCTCTTCCTCTGACATATACCCATACACATAGACACAAATCCTTTTAAACTGGCAGGAGTTTTATCAGCCTGTTGCCCACTGTGGGCAGGCGCTAGAGAGAAAGCAATTTGGCAAGTTGGTACAGCCGCCTTGGAGCTGTTGAGTCGAGTCAGGACTAGTGTGTTTTTAATGTGCAGCTGCCCAGATTACATGCACCTTGCTGAAGGTACAAGAGAAATGTAGAGCAGTGCTAGACTACCCAGACACCAAGGGGAACGTGATCACATCATGCAGGAGACAAGAGGCCTACGTAACAGGTACACTGCCCCAGAACAGGGGCAGGAAACCTTCGCCTGTCATCAGGCCAACTGGTCACCACAAACAGTCTTTCCCAGAATAACACAAACAAGCAGGGTTTTCCTGCTCTCCCCAGGAGGAGCGGAGCAGCAGGAGACCAGCTGTCTGGCTGTGTGCAGTCCCCACGCCAGCTTCCCACAGAGAGACGAGTCCCTGAGGGGAGGTGGCGGGGAATCAGGGGGCACACCCAGACCCCTGTCCCCCAGGGACACCTGATACCATCTTCTGAGGCTCAGCATTAAGCAGGAATTGAGAGCAAAGGTCAAAATAGCTACAGATCTCTACACAGGCAAATCTCCTTGTCATTCAGTTTTCTGAAGCATTTAGGGTTTTTTTTCCTTACTTGTTGGGTTTGATTTGAGATAAATGCCTGCCTGTACAACAATCAACTAATGTGCAAAAACCAAAGTCATGCGGAATTTTTAAAAGCTGCCATACAGTACCATCCGTTATCTCAGTTGTCATCATGAAAAGGGAACTCTTGCGTCTTAATTTTTAAGAAAATGGTAAAGCTCAGCTTCACTGATACTGCAGTGGTCAGGGTTCAAACGGCACAGGAAGTTGGTCCCTGAGAGGGTGGCTCTACAGGCAGCAGGAGCAGAGACCACTGTGAGGGCCACGGCCGAGGAACACTTACTTGGGAGGCCTGCTTGGCTTCCAGTACTGGCAGAAGAGGTACTGCCCGTCGGCGTTGAGCAGGTGAGGAAAGTCTGGGGCCGGGTTGTTCTGCAGGGTCCGCCGCGGAGAACCTTCCTTGGGCATCCTGGAAGGGTCTTCAAGTCCTGGCAAGAAAGGCAAACGCATCCCAAAGTCAGAAACTCCTGGAGACGGGGAAGGAACGCCTCGTGCAGAGTCAGGAACATTTTTTTTAACTGATTTTTTTAAAAACCTCTATTTGAAAGATTTTTAAAAATTACGTACATACATTCTTGCCTATCTCCCCAAGACTGAAAACTCCCACTTGTTCTTCAGAAAATGCTCACTTTATTTTTCAAATGCCTCATTACAGCTTTTTTCCCCCCTTCCCATCTGTGTTTATTTTAAATCATTTCAGGAAACTTCATCTTAAAGACTATTTTAGCTGTAATCAAGCGGAAATTATAGTCAGCTCAGTGGGTACAAAGACCCAGCTGCAAGAAGCCCCGTCTCCCTTAAGCCTCTGAGGAATCATCTCGGGGGGCACAATGACGAGGTGGATGCGGCTCCGGTTAATTCTCCTCTCTGAAATCCCAAAGATGCACCACAAACCTGCTTCCATTACGTCCTGGCTTTTGCATTCCACGACCGCCAAGCCTCCAGGATCGGCCAGGGAAATATGGGCTGTTCCCTCATCTCGGCGGTCGCAGCAGCTCCCGCGCCCCGCGCCCCGCCCGGCGCCTGGCGCCCCAGATCAGGCTTCGGGGCTCGGGTAAGGTGCCACGCTCACAGACAGCTCCGCGGGC